CAATTACCACTATAATTTAATTATTTTCATTTTTGAGTTTTGTGATTTTTTTGTGAAATTCTCGAGTATTATCTGACATATTCCCGAAAATGGATGCGACAAATACGGATGATGAAGAACTATTGGAGTGACTATTCGGTGAATTACTTGGTGAATAATCTAGTAAATTATTATTTAGTGATGGTGGTGACGGAGGAATTAGAAGAATCAGAAAGTATAAGTGAATTAGGTCGTGACCTAGGAATTCGTGATGGAGATGATATAAATCTATTATTATTGGTTGTTGGTGATGTTTGTGGTAGAAGAAAAGTAAAGGATGATTATTAATATTAAGTGATGGAGGTAAAAGTTGATTTGATAGAGGGGTAAATGGAAGAGGTGGTTTAACTATAGTCATATTAGGTCGAATTCTTTTATTTTCCGAAGAAGAAATTGATAATTGTGAAATCGGTGTTTTTTCTTCTAATAAACAATCTTTCTTTTGTATATTTTTCGTTTAATTCCTTATTGATGATGAATTATTATTATTACAAACATCAAATTCATTTTTCAATTTCGTTAAATATTAAATTATATGTTTCTAAAATTTCGAATCTTGATAATCTTATAGTTTTTAATTGATTTATTTAATTAATTTAACAAACCTTTAACAAATAAAAGTTGTATAATAGAGTAAAAATACTCTTGGTAAATTCACGTGTGTTCTTTATATTTTAATGTTTTTAATATTGTTTTATTATTTTAATTTATTATTCTGTTTAAAAGATACCATTTTCCAGTAGAAGGAGAATTGAATGAACCATTTAAATTGATGGTGCATATTAACCTGTTAATCCAATGGCAATTCGTTCAGAGTACGCGTTTCTTTATTATATATCACCCACACATCCTGATTTGTTTTATTATATTTTTAATTTATATTTTATAATTTATTTTTTTGGCTTATGTTTACGGTGAATTATATATTTTATCAGTTTGGAAAAGTTGCTTATGTATGCATTTGCGCCATGATGATTG